CCAACCAGGCGCGTCAGGGACAAAGCCAAGGAAGACACAGGGAACAGCGCGGGCGGAGAGCTTGTCCGCGGTGGTATCGCGGACAAAGGCACGAGCACCCCAGACCCGGAAACGCGACGCATCGCCAACCTTCCCCGTCCACAGCAGTGTGGGCGAGGTCTCCGGCAAGGAGACACGGGGCTAGAGGTTGAGCTGATGCGCGGCGTACCGGACCGCAAACGGCCACAGAAAATGGGGGGCAACCGCATGGATCATGGAGGTACGAGCGACCTCCATGACTAAGCCAATGCGGCGCTCAGCAACCCCATTCTGCTGCGGAGAGGCCGGAAGCGTGAACGACTGGGTGATGCCGTGCTCCGCACAGTAGGCTGCCAAGAGGTCGGAGGAGAACTCACCACCTCTGTCAGAGTGCAGACGCAGGACAGGAAAGTCCGACCGGAACCGCTCGCGGAGCTGGAGACGAACAGCGCGGATCCAGGGGATCAAAACAGCAGGGACGTCCCCCTTGCTCTGCAAGGGGAAGACCGTGGTGTAACGCGTGTAGTCGTCGACGACCAGCAGGAAGTACCGCTCGCGGCCCTGTCCCTGGACGCGGGCTGGGCCCCACACGTCCAGGTGGAGCGTCTGCAGTGGAGCCTCTGTGGGAGGAAACGAGGAGGAGTGAGGAGCGGCGCGCTGCCGCCCCTCGACGCAAGGAATGCAGGGCGGCGCAGGCGAGGGAGGGAGGGCAGGCAGGGACCTGGGAAGACCAGAGACCAGGGAGCGAGAGTGCATGCTACGCAGGCGAGGCAAGGAGGGGTGACCAAGGTGGTGGTGCCAAAGGAGAGTGTCGTGCGACAAAGCGCGACACTCGCAGGGGGCCGCCAGCTGACCAGACGCAGACGCAAACGCAGACGCAGCTACCTGAGGGGACTCAGTGGTCAGTGTGTACAGACTCGAGCCAGGTGCACGGGTGAACGTGGCCAAGTGCCGGCCCGTCCTAGCACACGTACAGTGAGTCACTCGCTGACTCGCAGGAGTGAACTGGTGAACCCCCCCATCCTGGAGGTCAGCTCCACTCACCAAGTTCGTAGAGAACGAGGGGAGGTAAAGACCTGACAGCGAGCCGGACGGGACGGCCGGACACGGCAGAACCGTGGAGTAGTGGGCAAGGACTGGACCCCCAGAGGGGTCCGCCAGGGAGACCGGGACTGGCCGACGGAGCGGCGTGAGTGCGGTGCAGTCGCGAAAGAAGGAGCGGGAAGCTCCTGAGTCAAGGGTGAAGGTGTGCGAGACCGCAGTGGGCGCAGTACCAGAGAGAGCAGACACAGCAGCACCTGAAGCCACGGCCTCACCAGTACCTAGAGCAGTAGACGTACTAGCACCGAGAGCAGCAGCCTCACCAGCACCTAGAGCAAGAGACGCACTAGCACCTAGGGCAGCAGCCTCACCAGGGTCAGGCGGTACGCACAGGCAACAGGCACGGTCAGCACTAGTAGACAATGCATACATGGCAGTGAGAATAGCATCATAGTCAAGCGCAAAGATATCTACCCTCTGTCTATGCAGCTCCAGCCAGGTGGGGAGCTCAGCCTCGTCGCCAAACACTGTGCGCCAGTCGTCGCTCAGACGGGCGAAGCAGCGGGACTGTGTGTGACCAAGCGTCCCACAAGGCTGACCAGTCCTAGCACCTGTGCGAATGACGTACGGGCAGCGGACTGTACGCGTAGACCTGCTACACTGAGCGTACCACTCCTGGAGCTGCCGGGGCGTAAGTGTCTCACGTGGACGTCCCTGCAGCTGCAGCTGGCCACTGCCAGACGCTCCCAACTGACCAGCTCCAGGGCGACAGCTACGACCGGCAGCTACTGCGACAACCCCAGCTAGTATACCACTCACTAAGCTGCTGGGGCGTCAGAGGCTCGCGTGAATGTCGCTGGAGCTGCATCTGGCCACCTGCCAGTAGCAGTAGCGCAGGCAAGGCAGGCGCGGCAGGCAGGCAAGCAAGCAGGCAGGCAGGCAGGCAGGCAGGCAGGCCGGCAGGCAGGCAGGCAGCCAGGCAGGCAGGCAGGCAGGCAGACAGGCAGGCAGGCAAGCAGGCAGGCAGGCAGGCAGGCAGGCAGGCAGGCAGGCCGGCAGGCAGGCAGGCAGCCAGGCCGGCAGGCAGGCAGGCAGACAGGCAGGCCGTCAGGCAGGCAGGCAGTCGCTCACCAAAGGCTGGGAGAGCAGGGCCGGCGCTCGAGTATGCGCACGACAGCGGCGACGTCGGGGCCGCAAAACCGGCTGCAGAGCAGGGCCGAAACAGCTGTAGAGCGGGGCTGCGTCAGCGGCAGTAGCAGGGTGGGGCCGCGTCAGCGGCAGGTCGGGGTCGTGGCAGCTGCAGGGCGGGGCCGCATCAGCGGCAGGTCGGGGCCATGGCAGCTGCTGGGCGGGGCCGCATCAGCGGCAGGTCGGGGCCGAGGCAAAGGGCCGCGCGCGGCCGCGCTAGGGAGTAGCGGGCCGCGCGCGGCTCGGCGCGGGCTGTTGCGGGCCGCGCGCGGGCCGTGCGAGGCAGGAGCAGGCCTCGCGCGGCTCGGCACGAGCTGCTGCGGGCCGCGCGCGGGCCTCGCGAGGCCGTAGCAGGCCGCGCGCGGCTCGACGCGGGCTGCGCGGGCTCGGCGCGGGCTGCGCGCGGCAGCTGCGAGCTGCGCGCGGCTCGGTGCGGGCTGCGCGCGGTTGCAGCGGGCTGTGCGCGGCTCGGTGCAGGCTGCGCGCGGCTGCAGCGGGCTGCGCGCGGCTCGGTGCGGGCTGCGCGTGGCTGCAGCGGGCTGCGCGCGACTCGGTGCGGGCTGCGCGGTCTCGGTGCGGGCAGCGCGCGGTAGCAGCGTGTGTGCGGGTCTTACGGGCCTGATAGGCGTGTAGAGGCGGCGCGCGGGCCTTACGGGCCTCTAGGGGCAGCGCGCAGGCAAGGCAAGGCAAGGCAAGGCATACAAGGCAAGGCAAGGCTACGTGGGGTAGCGTGGTAACCGCAGCGGTAGGTGGGCCCGAAAAAAAATGGTCCTACGGACCTTAGTGCTCTGATACCATGTCAGAATCTAGCAGCAGGAATGAGTGAACTAACAGGATGCAGGAGTACAAGTAGTAAACCCTAACTAGGTTGTACCCCATATGGGCTACCCCACTACAGCCTAGACAATATGCAGCACATATAGTTTGACACATCCAGCTCTTGATGATGTTCTGGCGACTGAACCCTCTCTCACACTCCACTGTGCTCAGTGGCAGCACAGCGATGGCCTGCCAGAGTGTCATCAGGTTCGGGTAGCTGCGTCGCCAATCCCGGCTCTTCAACATGCTTTGGAGGCCCTGGTGAAAATCCTCTCCCGCGTGATGGCGTGGCATGATGTGACAAAAGCTCCTCAGCTCCTTCTTGGCCGCCTTGAAATCAAATCCTGACGGGGAACGGGTTTGGGGCGTTGGAAGTGGTTAGCGGTGGTTGTCCGATGTTGGGTGACATGCATGGGACAAATCCTATTAACGGTAATGATAAAACACAGCTCACCTGGAAGCATGCCGCCAAACAGCTCGTCGTTTACGGCCAGCCACTCGAGGGTCTTCAATTCGCGCTGGTCTTCCTGGCTCAGCCACGACTCAACTTGAAACAGCTTTGCGCCGCCCAACTGCTGCAAGTCCCACATGCGGTACTTCATGCGTGCGACGATTTCCTTGGCGAAACCCGTGCAGAGCTTCTCGCAGTCAGCAAGCATGCCCCCAAACTTGTGCTTCTTGATTGGGGTCTCGCTCAGCTCGAACTTGTGTGATGTTTGCCGCCCCTCCGCGTCAATCCCTTCTACCACAACCGTCCGGTTGTCACCACCGTGCTGCTTGATGAACTTGGACAGGTGCTTGCTGACCCCGCCGCCAAAGGTGTCGCCGTACTGGATGTAACGGTGAGTGATGATGGTGATCGTGTGGTCGATTTCTTTGGCCACCAGTGTGATGTCCACCTGGATCAACACGGGCACGTGAACCATGTTAGTAGAGGCAACCTTTAGTGTTACCCAGCTTCTACCCAGTATAAGTGGAACTTGCCTTGCGGTGCTGGAAGAAGCGGTTGAGCGAGTTGAGCACTGCTAGAATGTCTGCGAGGAAGTACAAACAGAAGTGAAACTTGAATGTTTGTACTGTTGTTGCAATTTTGTGACCGTACTCCACAATCATGACGATCGCCGCCCCAAAAACACGGACAAGCCTCGCTATAGCATCTCCCCGTGATAGCCAACGGACGTTGAACAGTCCCTGGTGCTCGAGATTTGTCTTGTGAATTTCTTGTTGCAGCTCCTTGAATCTGTCGTACCGAATGTTGGAACGGCAGATAATTTCACCCACGGCTCGCACAGCAGCGTCGATCATGTTCAGGTCGGGGTATGCCTTCGCAGCATCCTTGACCACCAGGGCTTCCCTGCAGCACACGCAAACGGTAGATTAATACACCGATGTGCACAGTTTTACAGCCTCGCATGCGATTAAAACGAGACAACACTTAAGCGCAGCTCACCTATGCGCGACGCAGTGACATCCGACGAGATGCGGCACGTGCTCTTGCAAACGGCTAACCAGGCCGCTCTTCTCCCCGGTCATCACAGAAGCTTCGTCGGTGCCGATCCCCGACACCCGCTTAAGGTCCACCCCGACAGACTCCAGGTGACTTGTGAGCACGGTGAACAGCGAGGAAGCGTCGCACTTGTGCACCGTCAGCAGCGCCAGAAACTCCGTGACGGACACGCCGTTCTTGAGAAAGGTTGCAAACACGATCAAATGTTTGCCGCGTGCGCGATCTGTGCTCTCGTCGCATGTAAGGCCGATGAATGGTGAAGCGAGAAGATGCAGCAGCTGCTGTGTTTTCTGGTACTTAGCCATTGCTGATGCCATTTCGTTGAATCCGTACCTGTCACAAGGAGGCGGCAAGGGGGATAAACACAGATGCGAGAGGAAACCATTACTTGCGGCATTGAAATTTGGAACGTTGGACAAGCCCACTCTTACTGTGTGATGTACACGCCATAGGACTGAAACGGGATGTACTCGACACCCTCCTCCGCGAGGAAACCTTTGAGCTTCGGGAACATCGCGATTGGTGCGTCGTGGTCGCAGATGAACTCCACGCCGCGCATGAGACGGGTCAGCCGCGCCCCGTCCTTGTCGCTGTTGGCGAAGTCGTCGATCCCCTTCTGCTTCTCAATCTCTGCCATGAGCGTTCGCTGCCGTTTCATGGCTTCGTCGTGGCGCCCGCTTAGCTCGTGGCATCGCATCGATCCGAGCTGCAGATCGCGCCCCCCCGTTCCGTTCCGTCCAAACTTCGCATCGTCCTTTCCGTGCTCCACGCAAATGCTGCATCGCAGAATGGGCAGCCCCTCCTCGTTCTTAGCAGCCAGTCGAACTTCGGCAGCCACTGGGTGATGTATAGCTGCTGCGCCTTAAAAAATTTCTCCTCTGCCTTTTCGGCGTCGGTGAGTACACGGGAGACACGCTTCGGAGCTTGGACTGGAGCGGGAGGCGGAGTGGGTTTCGCAGGTGGCGTGCCGAACGGTAAAACGGCCTGCGCGAAGCGACGCCTCTTCTTCGAGGCTGCAGATGATGACTCGCCCACCTCTGTCACGCTGACAGTGGCGGGAGCACTGTCCGGCGTGACGGCATTGGAAGGAGGCGGCTTTGACACTCTCTTTCCCTTTGCTGCAAGATGACGGGCCTGGAGTGACCACATGCGGAGGGTTCGCATGAAGCGCGCGCAGGAAATCCAGGCCTGTTCGCGCTGGCTCATCCTTCGATGGCTCGCCAGGACCTTCACCGTCGCCGTCCTCTGCAGGAGCCATGGCTGCAAACGAGAAGCAGGAGAACCGCCTACGTTGCTCTACTAGGCGGGAGAGCTTTGTTCATGCACGGTGAAACCTCTAATGTGTTCCTCTCTCGCCTCTGTTTCCTAACGTGCTCGCAAACAAGATGCAGAGCTAGCCACAGTCGTGCAAGGAACGCGGCGCCAAGTGGGACACTGGGCACCGAATTGTTGCTGCAGTCAGGCAGGTTTCCTGCTAACACGGCCTTGTTGTCAAGTCAGACAAACAGACCAACTGGCGGAGGTGGCGGTGCCAACGAGGAAACTGTAAACCTGGCCAATAGTGGCCCACTTTGTGCCAGCACATGAGTTGTCAAGGTCGAAATTCCGGCCTCGACAGTTGCATTGGTAGAATCCCAGGTTACGGGAAAGGGGGGGGGGGGGGGGGGGGGGGGGGGGGGGGGGGGGGGGGGGGGGTGGGGTAGGGGGGGGTAGGTAACGCGTTACAGGGTAGAACTCGCTACGGGATCCGGAAACCCTTGGGCATCAGTGTGCCTTTCAAAAACCACCCTGATTATCAGGGTATCAGGGTGATTTACACTGATAAAATTTGCCCTGGTTGCAATGCAACTTACCATGCAAGGCCTGCATTGAACCAGCCAGGGTGCAGACAGCAAGGCAGCAGCACATCATGTATTTCCATAAGCAGGTTGTCTAAACAACGCTCTGGTACTAACCTATGCAAAATAACAGCCAAAATGTTGATTTCATTCGTGGAGCAAGAGTTCGGCACGAATGAATTCCCTGGTGTGGTTTCCTGGTAGTCCCTCATTTCCCTGCACTAGTCCCTTGTTCCCTGCACACACTACCTCGTTGTCCTGCAAGTATCCCTCGGTAGCAGAGCAAAATGGATGAAACTAGCATGGGCATACACTGAATTTGAATGAAAAAAAAAAAACAGATTTTTCTTCCATTACGTGGCAAGGAATCGTATGAAATGTTCCACATTTTATTTCAGAATGATCAGACCCTAGTACTCTAGATTGGGAATTTGTGGATTGGGTATTGGAATTCATTTTACAAATAACTGCTATGCATTTTTTTCGTACATACCGAATCAAGGTCAACGATAGGGGGAGAAGGAACATCGAGACCCACGAGGGGAAGAGGCGGCGGTCATTTTCAGACAGTGCTGAAACCTGCGAATCGTAGAATACCAGACATGTGCCCTGATTTCTCATCTGGGGCAGCCCACAACTCGTGAAACGGTCGAAACAACTCTATCCAGGTTCTACATGAAATGCCTGGCCTGAGTTTCAACCTGTAAGTTCGCGATTCGTTGAACCCATGTGGACGCGCCTCGCAACAAATGCTTGGCACCTGCGAAAAGGGTTGGTGCGAAGGCATTGAAGCGCATTTCGGGGGCACAAGGACTTCGGTGGAGGATGTGTACAACTACTACAAACAGCGAAGGTACCACGCTCCAGCGATTAAGCAGTAAGCAGTTTCCATCGTCCTCCAAGTAGGTATTTAGAGACATATCAACGCAACAATTTACCCCAAGCATTCTATTTCATATTCTCCATAAAGACACTAGCCTCAGATCATGGCACGACTACTTTTCGTCGTATCGTTCGCCGTCCTGCTTGCGGTGGCGTCCGCAGGACAAACCGTCGTGACGGGACCTAACAATCCGGCAGTCTCTCTAGAAAAGGCCAAGGGCGATAATGGCGTGGCGACTAACGTCCCTGCTAGCGTCGAGAAGGCGGCGGCTGCGGGCAACCTGGATTCCCTGCAGGGCACGACGATCGTGAGCCCGAGCACGGACAGCATGCTGATGGTGGACGTGAAGCAGGCCGGATGGAACAAGATGAAGTGCCACAAGGACCTGGGCAAACCCGGGGACGGCGCTTGCACTCCCGCCAACTGCAGCAAGGGCGGCATCCCCGCCAAGTGGAAGACGTCGAACCTGCTCAAGAACAAGCTGGGCGTGGAGGTGTACGTGAAGGGCAACCCGCTGACGCTCAAGAAGGCGTCCCCGCAGACGTGCTGCAACACGTGCGCGAGTTTCAGCAGCTGCACGTATTGGCAGTACATTCCCGATATTACCATCGACGGCAAAAAGTCGGACGGCGCGTGTTACCTGGTGCACGACAACATCGACTACACGTGCGGCGAGCTGACGGCGCAGTACGCGACGGACTCGAAGCCGCTGGCTCTGCAGGTGCGCACGGGCGGCGAGTGCAACCCCGCGGCGAACGTGGTGAACGACCCGCATCTGGTGGGCGCGTACGGCACGCACTTCGACTTCAACGGCCGCCCCGACAAGGCGTTCTGCCTGCTGACGGACCGCGACCTGCACGTGAACATGCTGCTGCGCGGGTACTACTCGGACGACACGGAGAACGCGGCGCTCGTCGTCGACGGCAAGGCCGTGCACACGTGGATCAAGGAGCTGGGCATCATCTGGTTCGCCAACGGCGCCGATCACAAGGTGCGGCTCGCGGCGCGCTCCGGCAAGCAGCAGGAGCGCGGCGATGGATTCATGAAGACGATCGAGATCGACGGCGAGGAGATCCCGAGGATGAGCGTGGGCGATGAGGTGACGACGGAGGGCGGTCTGACTCTGCGATTCGCGGCTTTGGAGAAGGAGGGCCCGTATGACGTGGACTACTACACGCTCTCCATCGACGGGCTCGTGGCGCTCGACCTGCGCCTGCGCGTCGCCAACCCTAAATTGCAAACCCCCAACGAGGCCGAGGCGCACATCAACGTGGGGATTGTCGAGCTGGAGCACACCGACGACGTGCACGGCGTGCTCGGCCAGACGTACCGCCCCGACCACGCGGCGCGCGCCGCCGACTTCCAGCGGCTGATTGCGAACCTGCACCGGCCGGTGTCGGCTGACAGCGCGGAGGGCGCTGGGTTCCTCGACGGCACCCCCCGGCTGTACGAGTCGAGCTCCGTGCTGTCCGTGGACTGCGCGCAAACCGAGTATCACCGCGCCAAGCAGCTCAGCCCCGTCGAGGAGTTCCCAAGGGAGCCCCTCAACTAAATTCACACCGCCTCAAATTCGGTGGGATGTGATTGTGATGTGCATGCCTCGTCATTCCCGTGGTGGGCTGCGATTCGGTGGGCTGGGATATGGTGGGCTTCAATTTGTACATTCTGTGTTGTAGGCAAATTTCTCATATACATTTTTTTATATTCATTATAATTCAGTATACCTATTGTTACATACGTCAACCCTGAAATTACGGCTGTTTCTCTATATAACTCTGCTACAAGTTTCCGTACAGTTTCTGTTTGTTTCACAGCTGGTTTCTTTAATAGAAAAAGGTCTGCGAATCTTGCAATATAAAGCAGACGGTGACAAATGGCCATCCCCACCTGTGTTTACCTAAGTAAACAATTTCGCCTCCAATAAGTACCCCTATTTTGCATATTCATGCAGAAGCCACCTGGCAGCTGAATTAATTACAGGATGTGCTTATGCCTACCAATGCTCCCAGCTACGTGAGGGATCTGCAAGGAGGAAAGTGAAATCATGCCCATCTTCCACGCTAGGTGTTCATGGTAGGCAAGTCCTAAAAACATAATATTCAGAATGCTAATTTCTAAGATCCTAACCCAAACCTGCAACTCAACCCCACCCAGAAAACCCTCCCCAGTCGCTCCCCTCCCTTTGCACCTCTAACCTGAATACTTTGGGGTTTTGAGACCTCAAGACCGAATGTTCACACACTCGGGCTTCCATCCCTTATTCATATCCTTTCTCTCGATAGACCCGTGCACACAGCACTGCTGGTCCAACAAACTTCAGCTTCATCCTTCCCCTTCTTGCCTGCATAGCCCACGCGACTGCACCCTCAGCAGCTTCTGCTGCTGAAACCACCACCACAGCCGCCACCACCGCCACCTCTGCTGCTTCCACGCATGAGACTACTCAATCAGCAGCTTCTGCTTCACACGACATGCTTCACACAACATGCTCATACTTATGCTCCATTCGGATCCTGCTGCTGCCTCCCAGCCAGAGCATCTCATCTCTATCCCAGCCGCTGCTTCTGCTGCGACTACGTTCTTCACTTAACCCCATAACCCCACCGAGTTCTGCTTCTTAGTTTCAGATAGCTTTAAAACCCCACCTCACGCAGCCGGCCGCCTTTTCACGCGCACACCGCATCCCGCGGGGAAGAGAATTTCTCGTCACCTTTCGAACCTGATCCTGCTGCTGGCGCTGCTACAGGCACTGCTGCTGATGCTGCTGCTGCTGGCACTGCCACCGCATTCGATGATTCTTCACCCAAGACTGTCACAGCAGGGCTATCAACAGGCACCACTGCAGGCACCACGGCAGGCATTTCTAAAGAATCGGCAGCAGCAAGAGAACCAAGAGAAGGCAGTGAGTCGAGGGTAGGAAGGGAGTCAAGAGGAGTCAGAAAGTCAAGGGAATCAAGAGGAATGGAGGACTCCAGAGGAAGCAGCTCCACATCCCCTACCCTTGTCACGTGCTCTAGCGAGATCACAGATCCCAAAGGGGGAGAGGAGGGGACAGACAGCTCAGCCGTGTCGAGGAGAATCTCCTCATCCGTTATCCCCCAAGCACCACCACACTCGCTGCTCTCAGAATCAGCCATTTCAAGCCCAAGAGCCGAAAGAGGAAGCGGGGAAGCAGGAGCGGCAGTGGAGATCAAGTGGTCAATGGCCACAGCCTCTGATTGGTCTGATTCTTGGCGCGCTTCAGTGAGAGCCTCTGTAACGGCTGCTAGAGAATCCATTCCTTCCGATCCGCTGGGTGTTTCGGGGAGGGTACTGGCAGTAGGAGGCAGAGATTCGCCTGATTCTGAGACTGAGAATGAGGAGATTTGCTCAGGGAGAGCGGGAATTCCCAAGGGCAGATCATCCGAGCCCACAATTGCTGCTGCTGATTCTGCGATTGCTAGAGGTTCTGAGTCCGCAGCTGCAACTTCTGCTGCCGCTGCATTCTCTGCTGCTTCTGCTTCTGCTGCTTCCACCGCCGCTGCTTCCGCTGCTGCTGCTGCCGCTGCTGCAGCCACCCTTTCTGCTGCCACTGCCCTGTCAGCAGCAGCCTCGGCAGCAGCAGCAGCAGGAGCAGCATACTGCCACGCCTCAAATGCAGGCACGCCAGCACTGGCAGCAGCATAGCGCGGATCGTTAACCAGCACTGGGATGGGAGTCAGCCCAGAAAACCCCGAAGGAGACGCAGAGTAAGCCTGCTCCAACGCCGCTGCCGCTGCTGCTGACGCTTCTGCCGCTTCTGCTGCCGCTGCTGCTGCCGCCGCTGCGGCCTCTGCCGCCGATCCAGCCGGTAAAGCCTTCGGAGAAGCAGCATCAGAGGAGGTTTGGGCGGAGGAGGTTTGGAGGCCGCAGAAACGGGCGAGGTCGACCCACTGAGACGAGCCCCAGTAGGAGTTGATCGTGCGGGCGATCATTGAGAGCGCTGCTCCTGCCATGGGGTTGGCGGCTAGATAGTAGTCTGCTATCCAGTGCTCCACCACCCCGCCTATCACCTGGTACCGGAGATTGGCTGACGTGGCAAGGAACCCACCGTAGACTGCTGCAGTCTTCAGCACAGGGGACCGTTTTGTTGCGCCAGCCGCGTTAGCAGCACCAGCAGCAGCGGCAGCAGCAGCAGCAGCCGCAGCAGCGCCACCAGCAGCAGCACCAGTGGCGCCAGCAGCAGTCAATTCTCCCAGGCGATTTTTCGCCTCCATGAACAAATTATTCAGCGCTACAGTGCCGACACTCGCCGAGAACCCTACAGTGAACAGCTTCCCGCTTGTAAAGAGGATGGACGCGAGCCGCTGCTGCAGCCCCCAGTCCTGCCCGGGCTGCGTCGCCCTCTGAAACGCGTTCTTCGGTAGCGTCGCCGCCCAATCCCCCACTTGCGACACCAGCTGCTGCACCGGCCCTTGCGTCATCCCCGCCGCTCCCGCTGCTCCCGCTGCTCCCGCTGCGCCCGCTGCTGCTCCCGCCGCGCCTGCTGCTGCGGAGCCCGCGATTGACGACGCGGCAGAAGCGGCGGGGAACGAGAGCGTGGGAGCGGGTAACCAGACGGTGAAGAAATTAACGATAACGCCTCGCAGAACGTCCGTCGCGACGTACTCAATCTCCGACCAGAATCGATCGCGCCGCTTCTCCCACTGCGCGAGCAGCGCCGTCGTGATGCTAATCGCCTCCTCCGTTACTATCCGTTGGAGGAACCGAGGGTCGGCGTAAACGCGCTCCCGCAACCCCTGGAAGCGCTTCGTCGCCTCCGCGACTAGCGGATGGCTCTCTAATTCGAAGAACGACTGGAGCGTGTCCGGGGAGATTAATCCGCGTTCTATCCCCGTTTGTAGGTCCTGCGGTAGGTTGTCGAAGGTTCTCCCCGCCGCGCCCATCACGCGCGCAATTTCTGCCCGGTCGAAACAGTTTTGCGTGCACATGCGGCTGCCCGAGTACCAGAAAAAATCGGCTTCGGGCAGTTCGCTATCTGCCCGGCTGCGTTGCCGTTCAGGGTTCAGCAGCACCACTCGTTGCGACGCGGCGGAAGTTTTCAGCTGCCCGTTGTTGATCCGGGCAGGAACTCCGGACCCTTGGGCTCCGTAGCGCACTTGCGACGCGCCCGTGAGCACGACGAGCAGCCCGACGATTCCGCCGTCCGCCATGGCCTGGTCGATGCTGCGCGCCACGGCGTGTTGCTCCACCACGCGCGCCTGCGCGAACCAGTACGGCCCGGGGCCGAACGGCAGCGACGTGCGCGACACGGATTCCCGCGAGTACACCTCCGCCGCCACCGCCGCCGGCTCCAGCCCCCACAGCCCCGCCGTAGCGGACGCCGCCGCAGCCGAAGGGGGGGAGGTGGTGAGCAGTGGATCGGTTGACGCGGGGGAGGAGGGCGCGGGGAAGCCGCCGAGGGGAGGGGCGTATCGCTGGCGGTCGATGGGCGCGAGAGCTTGCACTCCGCCCGCCTGCACAGTGCGCAGAATCTGACGCGGAGGGGGGGGGGGGCGCGGGGATGGAGCGGAGAGCGGGGGCGGGTAGGACAGAGCGCGGAAATTGTTATTCAGAAAATTTCGAGGCAACAAGGGATCGATGTAACGAGGCAACACGGCAACGAGGCAATTGGGGGTAATTGAAAGGACCGTGGCGCGTCGCTCACCTTGGGAGGCACGCCGCACGCGAAGAGGCGGACGCCCGAGTCGCGGCAGTATTGCAGCAGCGGAACCATCTCCTCGAAGCGACCCTTGGACCAATGGCTCACTGCCACCTGGAGGTCCTCTTCGGAAAGCCTGGCAGAGAAAAACAGATGCGGTCAGAAATACGAGATACCTGAAAAAAAAAAAAAACAATTGCATCTCAAAATCGCATAGCGAGTCACGGAGCAGCGCGTACAAGAAAATGCCTCACCTTTTGTTGAGATATTTGTCGAGAAGTGGCTGCGTGGATCGCGGGAACGCGGAGAGCGCGAGGGTGACGGGCCGGCCCGCCTTGAAGCACTCGTCTCTCAACCGGCTAACAATCTCCAGAGCCACGACCTGAATGATTGAAGGGACGGCAGGCAAAAAAAGGAAAAGAGAACGTTTCAGAGGGAAACATGAGCTTTAACGATTAAGCCTTTATTTACACGTTGCAAACACGGGGGCAGCATGTATCAAGATAGATCGAAAATTAGTTGTGCATGTATCAAGATAGACCGAAAATTAGTTGTAAGTACACAAACGCCAAAAAAAAAGACGCAATTAAGTTGATACCTCCATCGTCAATGCTCACCTTGTCTGTCGGGTCGCGAACCATCTCCGCTTCGCCTAAGTACACCACTCGAGCCGCCACAAGTCGCTGCCAAACGCCATCCTTATCGCCCACCAGCGCCGGCTCTCCGACCGCCGTCGCGTCGTACACACGCGACTCGGGGCCCTTCGGCGCCGCCGCGGCCTTCGCGCCGCCATCCACGCTCACTGCGCCGCCGTTAGCGTTGCCGAGGAACCACAGCGGGGACTTCTCCTTCCCCGCTTCCGCCGCCGCCGCGTTGACCAATCCCAGCTCAGCGGCGGCTGCGGCGCCAAGTGCGGCGGCGCCGATGCCGAGCAAAGCGCGACGATTCAGACGTGGAGTAGGCAGAGAGAACCGCGACGGTAGATGCGGAAGCACGATCGCCGGGACAGGCGTCGATCCCGGTTCTTCGACTTGTTGGGAAAGCAGCTTCGATTCTGCCGGAATATCCTCGCTTCCGCCCGCAGAAGTCTCCGCAGAGATGGTGCGGGAAGCCGCGGGGCGCGCAGAGACGACGGAGATTAAGCGCTTAATCGACCGCAGTGCTGGTGGAGCCTTAATCACGAAGACCGAGCCGAAAGAGTGCTGCGTCAATATCTCGGCGCTTCTGAGAGCTGGCGCAAGGGCGAGACTGGCCTTGACTCGCGGTCCGCTTTTTTTATTGATGGTTGAAGAGTTAATACGATCTTTCGATGAAAGTCCGCCACGAGACCGCGAAGCTGACCCGCGGGAGAAGCTAGTCGAGGAAGAAGACAAAGAAGGCCGTCCGCTGAGAAACGATGACGAGCTGGAGACGGCACGGTCAAGAAGCGAGCTTGGAGACCCCGCGACGCGGGAAGCCATTGCTGAAGGGGCTGCGCTGGTCATGGCTGCTCTTGATCTTTACAAAGAAGAGGAGAAAAATAAAGGCTTAATGAAAAAATGTTAGTGTCGATGTCAGATGCTCAGTCTTGTCAGATGTCAGGGTCGGGTCGGTCAGGAACTCGTGCAGACGCTCTGCTGACCGTCGATTGCGGCGATGATTCCGCCAAGGCACCTGCTATATCACCACTTTGAAGCCGCAATTGGGAACAATTAATAAATGTGGGTCTAACTAGCTGAGCGATGAAGACTCGAGGCTCCAAAAGGAAGCCATGGTTGACGCCTTGAGCGTCGAACTGGGTATGCTGACCGCCTCAATTGCGACGCTCGCACCCACAATTGCCCGATTATGATAAGAAACCGGGTCTTCTATGGGTAGCATCGCATACAGGCGAGTTCCATCCATGGCGGTCCAGCATTTCACAGGTCAGGGGGTCAGAAACGCGGGAAACAGAGCTTGAGGAATGGTCTGGAAGTAGGACCAGGCAGACAGGTGGGGAGAACGATTGGTGTGAGATGCAGTTGTGTGTGGTGCCGGAGATTATGCGACAGGGGGAATGGCAAATGGCGATGGGCTGGTGCAGCAGCTCGAGCGTGCTTGCTCCTGCGCCTGTGCACGCAATCGCGCCATTCGTCCGCAGAAGGTGCAGCACAGCAGCAACCAGACGCGCACACATTCGTTACGGGCATCTCGGGAATTTTCCCGAGACCTGGCACGGGGAAGGTTGTTACAAGGGGTGCGCGGCGGGGTGTGCTTTGCAGGGCGGCAGAGGGTAAACGGGGAATGAATTGGTCACTCAGGGGTTTGTTTGGCCCGATCTCCGGGGTGTTGGTTCACATGGGTCAGAAGAATTTGGAGATTTCTTAGATGCGGTGCGTCAAACTGACATTGTTTCCTGGTTTTCCGTGGAATTTTGTCCGAGTTCTGTGCACTGAGCACCAGACTTGGTTTGAACAATCGAGGTCGGTCAGAAGCGTTGACGGGAAACTGAACAGCGATGACGCTTGAAAGGGGCAATAGTAAAGCAGGTTCGGCCGTTTCTGTAAATTAAATATTTTGCGTTTGCCCGCCAGCGATTCGTTTGCAGAGCACCGAACGTGTCAGCGGGCAGAGCGACACGCTGGGCTCCAATCCCCACTTCATGCAAGGTTCTAGGCACGGTGCCCGTGACCCAAGGAAGGGAGGACCACCACAGAATCTTTCGAGCCGCTGAAGCATGCCCAGGATGCAGGAACTCTGGAGGCTATCGTCGCCGCATATGATTGGTTAATAAAATTCCTTTGGGTTAGGACGACGGAGATCGACGGTTAACAAAAGTTTGCGGCGTTTACGGAGAATTTGCCGTGGATATTCGCAGACGTGTCACACATTTCTGACGTGTTCGGATTGCACCACAAAATACCCGGCCAGCCTCGAAATTGCTTCTCTACTGTCACCCGCACTGCATCCATACCATACCCCACAGCGCCGTTGACCCATTGACTTGGTCAAAGAACCAACACGCTTCACCACCAACTCAAATCCAAAACGGATTGCAGTTGGACTTTCTACGCTGGCAAAACGGGGCTTCAGGAGTGGGTGAAACCTTACACGTCAGACCAAGAGTGAATATTCTGTGTCTTCGAAAAGATGCCATGACCTTGTCAAAGACACTCTCGATTTGAGAAACAAATTAACGCACATGGAACTTTCTGTATGAGTGGTAGTTACGTTCATTTCTTCATTATTTAAGATGCCTTTTCACCTCCATATTTATCTTTAACATGTCGAGTGTACAATCTGTATGTGCTATTTTAATATCAAAGAACAGCTGATCTATACCAAAATTCCATACTGTGATCCATACTGCATGAGTTTTGGCCTCTGGCCTAAAAGTTAATTGGTGCTACCTGAAATCGATTGATCAACCATATGAGCATTTGAAACTTATGTCGAGGATCAGCTCTTTCGGCAATCACCTTCTTTCTGAGTGAGCTTGCAGATACTACCGTTATCATGGTGGTACCGTAGATTCCACCAGCCGTGGCGTCATCCCAAGCTTAGCGTCGATTCTCTGCCGGTGTTTCTCGGACTCATAGCGCCGCCTTTAATCTCTCTACGCGGCATGATTCGACGCGAATGCCGCGGATTCGGTATCCCGCCTGGGCCGCCGCAAATCCCGGAGGTTAGAGAGGACGAGAAGGTGGTACCTGGCAGAGAGCGCACGGGAATCGTGTGCGGCCCGCGCCTTCCCCTTCGGTCACTCCCTTTCCCCTTCTCCCGTCCTCCTCTCCGCTTCCCTGTTCGCCAGTGCGCCAGTGGGGCCTGCCCGCGGACCTGGCAGCTGTGGCGCCATTGGCGCAGGCAACTTGTGAGGCGACTCGAAAGACTCCTGTGCGCCATCCCTGTGTGTGCGCCCATCCCCGTGCGCCCATCCCTGTGTGTGCGCCCATCCCCTTGCGCCCATCCCCGTGCGCCCTTCCCTGTGTGTGCGCCCATCCCCTTGCGCCCATCCCCGTGCGCCCATCCCTGTGCGCCCATCCCCTTGCACCCATCCCTGTGCGCCCATCCCCGTGCGCCCATCCCCGTGCGCCCATCCCCGTGCGCCCATCCCTGTGCGCCCATCCCTGTGCGCAGGTATTCCGCGGCCCCAGCAGCAAGCGGCACTTGCTGTCAGTGCCGGGACTCACTGATCAGTGAGTCAGCCTTTCAACCCTCTGTGTGTCTCCACTCCAGATCTTATCCAAATCGTTGCAAGCAACCCTACCCCACCTCAGTGCATCATTTCACTCTCCAAAAAAAAAAAAAGCCACACAGCCCTCCGTGTGCGTGCGTTCCATCCTCGTATCCAGATTGCTGCAGTTAACCCAACCTCACAACCCCCAATCTGTATCCAGATAGCTGCAAGTAACCGAACCTCACCTCAGGGCTAACTCTCTCCCAAAGACGGAAGAAAGAAACAGAATGCGACCTGACGTCCTCTCGCCTTTCCTTCCCCCGTGCCATTCTTCCCCATGCAGCAAGCGGCGGTTCGACGAGGCCATCGCGTGTCTGACCTGCTGTCCTTCTCATCCGCCCGCAGCAGCGCTTCTCCCAGCTTCTGCAGGAGATGCAGATCCTGGCCTGTCGCCACCCCCCACGGGGGAGCGGGGGCAGCGGGGGGAGGTGGGGGATCGGCAGGAGTAGGGGGAGCGGGAGAGGGCGAAGGGGGAGTGGGGCAAAGGGGGCCTGGCCAGGGGGAAACGCGCCAAGGGGGAGTGGATGAGGAGGGTAGCAGGTCAGAGGGCAGTGGGGCGGAGGGCAGTGAGCGAGTGGGTAGTGGAGCGGAGGGTAGGGTCGGCCGTGTGGGTGGCAGCCGCAGCACCCACTTTCCCCCTCACTCCCTCTTCCACTTCCCCACTTCCTCCCCCTCTCACTCCCTCTCTCACTCTCCTTCTCACTCTCACTCTCACACCTGCTCGCCCTCCCGCCCAAGCCCCTCAAGCGCGGATGTCCCAAGGGAGGGGGCGGTGATGCTGCCGGCAGCAGCGGCGGTGATCGCCCGTGGGCCGTGCTGCTGCTGCTGCTGCTGCTGCTGCTGCTGCTGCTGCTGCTGCTGCTGCTGCTGCTGCTGCTGCTGCTGCTGCTGCTGCTGCTGCTGCTGCTGCTGCTGCTGCTGCTGCTGCTGCCCGTGGGCCGTGGGGCCATGGGCACTGGCGGTGGCAAGTGTATTGTGACTCGGCTGGATCCCAGCCGCACGTGCTGCTCACTGGGGAGGGCATGGCCGCTGGCAAGTCTACGGTGGTTGAGGAGATCATGACACAGTGAGGAGGAGGAATGTTGTGAGAGACAGAGACTTTGAATGCGGTGTGTGCTATCATGAGGTGAGCCAGTGCCATACCCCGTGCTGCGTTTGATCGGCGGCGGCATGGGCGCTGGCAAGTCAACCGTGGTCAGGGAGATCATGAAAGGGTAAGAGGGAGTGCTGCGAGAGGCAGAGAGATGGAGTGCGGTTCTGAGCAATTGAACGCTCTTGTGTGCTTCCATCACATTTCTTCCGTCACATCCCGTTTCCTGTCTCCTCCTCTTGAAATTCCTGCTCTTGTCTCCTCCCACCAAGGCCCCCTCTTGCCATCCACGAGCACTTTTTTCGCGTGCATGGCACCACATCGTACAATGAGAAGGACCACACTTTCACGCTGCACTGCAAGTGAGTTGTGGGTGTCTGAGGCACTGCAAGTAAGCCACTGTATTCTTGAGGTGCCTCAGAAACAGTGACATCGTACCACAGGCCCCTCTTGCCATCCCGGCAGCACTTTTTCCGCGTGCATGGCACCACATGCAGTACGATTGCATGATGTGGTGCCATGCAGTAATCGGGGATGCCGGTGCCTTCCAGGAGAACGACTTTTGAGACGTCTCGAAAGGATGCTGCTGCCTTCCAGGAGAACGATGCAATCTCTCCAGGGCTCTCCAGAGCTTCCTTTCTCCTCCTTCAACCTCAGCCCTGCCTCTCCTTTCTTTTTTTCCCCTTCCGACTCAGTCCTCCTTCTCCACCCTTGCATTTCCCTTCCCCCCCCGCCCCCCCCCTCTTCCCCTACCCCTTCACAGCACTTTCTGCCGCATTGCATGAAGCTGGTGGGAGTGATGTGTGATGCTCACCTGGCTGTTGTGCGCGGCATGCGGTGAGGCATGGGGTGAGGGATGTGGCAGTGTGGGGTTAGGCATGGGGTAGGGCATGGGGTAGGGCATGGGGCAGGGCATGGGGCAGGGCATGGGGTAGGGGAGGCCAAAGGTTAGGAAATGTAGCCAGCAGCACCCCTTTATATTTTAGGGTGGCATTCTTTCCTCTTATCCAAGCGCCCAGCGTTTCCTTGAGTGTCCAGCACTGCAGACTAGGGGGCCTAGCGTCTGTGGTACTCACTCTGTCCCCCCTCACTTCTGGCCCTTCCTTCCCTCCCAGGCGAGCCATCCTAACAAAGCGACCAGTGCCAATGCACGAGCAGCTGCGGTCGCAGTGCCGGACACTAGGGGCCCTGGCGTCTAT